AGCATTCCTCGAATCAACGTTGCCGTGTCCCCTACTTTTACTCCCTTCCGGCCTGCATCTACGACTTCCAACAGATCGTTGATGAACATCTGGAACGATGTTAACAACATATTCGCCTGATTGAGAGCGAAGTATCTGATTGAGAAGAATTTTGACAGTTCTCCGTCTAGCATGACCGCGCTTTTCGTACACTCTGTCATCTTCTTCTTCTGTCATCTTCTTCAGCACACTCCACATTTTTCCCTTGATCTCGTACTTGGACAGTTGTTTCCAAAGCCCATTTCTTCATACGGTGTCGTATGCCTTTTTCACGTCCAGGAAGAAGCAGACCGTCGGCTTTCCCGCCCTCTCTCTACCTTGGATGATTCTCCCTACCGGGAATGCGTGGTCTACGCACCCCCTCTTCTTACGGAAACCTGCCTGGCCCTCACTAGCGCTATGTTCCTTCTCCAATACTCCCACTATCCTATCGTTCAGCAGCTTACAGAACACTTTTCCTACTGTGTTCAACAGTGTGATCCCCCTGTAGTTTCCTGGGTCAGTCTTGTCTCCTTTCTTAAACAAGTTCACAACCACTCCTTCCCTCCATCTACTTGGCGTATACTCGTTTTTCCACACCCAATTGTACAGCAGTACCATCAGCTGGATCATCCCCTTCCCCCCAAACTTCATGAACTCGTTGACTATCCCATCCGCTCCTGCTGCTTTGTGGCACTTCATCTTGTTCACACCCGCCTCAACCTCGTCCTCAGCGAACTCCTTTTCTAGGTCTACGTTCCCAACGCCTGCCTTCGATGTCTCTGCTTCTTTTTGGGCCCATGCATCCACCTCCTTCTTAAACACTTGGTCAAAAGCTTCATTCTCCGAGGGCACTCCAAGTCTCTTGTAGTGTCCTGCTAGAACTTCCCTTTTTCCCTTCCCACTGCTNCTGTATCCCCCCCTTGCGCGGTCATTTTGACCATTCCACTAATTACTAATCCCTTCCCACATCTGCTTGACGTTCCCCTCCAGGCCTCCGTCGGCCTTCTGCACTACTTGGTCCCAAAGGCACTTTTTCTACTTTTTCACTAGTAGTCCCTTCATCTGTTTTCTCTTGGCCCTGTACTTTTCCCAACTCTCATCAGACGCCTCACTCAGGTACTGCTTGAAGACTTCTCTA